GCTTAATTCCACAAAACGGAGCTGTATTCCTTTGTCACAATACATGGCAAGTCTACCATTCAGAAACAACAAAGTTTAAAGCATGCTCCGGTAAGAACTGCAGTGAAAGCAAGTCATAAAAGCTACAGCATCCTAACAAGCCAACGTCAGGCTGTGCCACAGCACACTGCAACAGAAAGCCCACTTGAACAAGCTTTTAGTTAGTTGTCACGATGCCTATTCCCGAGATATTATAATAATAAGGGGGAGACAGCAAAGAAACTGTTGACAAGGACAAGCACGCATGAAATACCTCCCCAACTATGCTGAACCATTGCGAAAAAACCCTCCCGAAACAAAGCAGGGGCGCAGACCAGGAACAGATACCTATAAAAGTCAAGTTGGGCTTTCTATGGCAGCGGGTCTCCTCCTCCCGAGGCGCAGCACAGACCGGACCCAGGCAGCCCATCCAGCCCAGCCGTCTGCCGCAACAAAGCGGTCAATGACCTGAGGCCACTGTACGCCACCGAGAGGGTGAGGGTAAAGGCCATGAGCTATCCCCACAGAGAGGACAGAGCCAAAGGGGCCCTGGAAACTCAGCAGACAGCAACAGCTATCATTTTAAGAAACTAGCAAAGGCAAATCGGAATGTAATTATGAAAACAAGAGCACACTGTCGGCATACATCCATAGACAGCATGGCAACCAGGAGGAGTTCGGAAGAGTCCCAGCAATCAGGTGGGCGAACACAGGAGGATTGCTCAGAAAAGAGAACTAGAAAACCTAAGATGCTGAGCTGGGACAGAGGCAGAAGCCACATCCTCAAGTAGGCTGCATACGAGTGAAATTTTGGCTTTAACAAGTCTGTTACAACTTGTACGAGATCGTATTTTTAGTTTTCAAAAGACAAGTCACACCAACTTAGAAGGAAATTGGAGAGAAAAGCACAAAACGCAGGAAAGTAAAGTCTGGAGAAAGCACAGGAACGTACTCCGAACGAACTGCACTGGCAACTTCTTTCTAAGTTACTCTTGGGAACCACCTGCCTTTTTCTAAGTCAGTCTGCCAGCAAACGGACACGGTGGAAGCCGGACAACCGGGACATTCTGGAGCCCGTGCCCAAGACATTGGGAAGAGCAGTCAGAAGAAAGCCAAGGAACGGGCAATAGCCTACATTCTAATTTAACATGCACTATATTCTTATTTACGCCACTGTCCCATTATTTATAGCCATGGATTGAAAGCTAGACCTGAGAACAAGAGTCACGGACATACAACAACCTAGACTTTTAGGCTCTGCACATTACACCGATTTTAGACCCACATTGAATACCAACCACTTCCCAGTAAGGAATCCACTCTCCTTGTCACTACTGGATTTCAATCAGAGTTTCACAGGAGCCGTACCCAGCTCAGACTTTTATTTGGCACGTTAAGTACTGTGCGTGCCTTCAGTTAGTAGAATGCATAATTCCTTTCTTTTCCCAGCACACTGCCGGCTTTAGTACTGCTCCCTGTCTGCACTCGGGCCTGATGGCTCAGCACTAGAAGACTGTTGTCGCTCAGACACACCAGGATTAGTGTTATCCACGCGCTAATATTCACTTACGGAACAGAAACAGCTGGTGGCTGCACGGAAGACCTTCTGGTGTCAAAACTCCTCCCATTAGCTCAGCCTTTTCTAGTCTTTCACTTAATCCAACGGGGCTTGCTTAATTCCCCTCCCTCCAGATCAAGATCTATCTCATTCGGTAGAGTATTTACTAATCAGTTTAATGTTTTTGCTCTGGCAAAGCCAGGAAGTGACCTCTTCCTTCTTTACCTTTCCCAAAGCCATTCACTGCTGAAACACTAATGCTCTTCTCGCAGCCAGCTCAGCGAGAACCGAGGACACGATGACCTCGTGTGGCAGATCCCGCACGTAGCTTCTGGGACTGCGGCACAATTCTTGCCATCAATTTCTATTTCAAGATTAAACTTGTAATAAGTTTCCTTTCCTCACAAACGGTGACAGTTTTTGGTGGCTGCGTTTTGCAGTGAGCTAACTTCAACATAATTCACGTTGCACCGATGGCTTTTAATGTCTTTTAAAACAAGTAATTTCTATTGGCCGTGAATCTGGGCCAGCGACTCCTTTCATCAGGACACCAAAACATCCCAGTGAAAAACCTAAAACCTGAGCTGCCTTCATTCTCTATTATTTAATAGAGCACTTCAGACCTACAAAACAGCACATCAATATTAACTAACCCTCCCAGCCTTCGAAAAACATAGGGAGATATCAATATTTTAAAGATTAAAAGACTGAGAGGCAAGGAGTGATTTACTCACAGTCACGCAGCAAGTCTAAACGGGAGCTGGGAAAACAACCTTGGGGTCCCTACACCTAGCTATGCTGAAACCTCTTGGCAATAGCAATTGCACACTGTTTTTTCCTAAGATATAACTTAATTATTACTACATACGTTCCCCCCTGGTCAATACTTAACAGTTCACAGCGAAGTTCTCTTGCGTCATTTCTATTTAACAAATAGATTCCTGGAGCCTTTAATTACTGGAAAAAGAATAAAACAATCTCAATGCTAATCACATTTTGTATGTAATTCCATTATTATGAAGTCTGCTTAAATAAGCAGAAAATAGTAGAAATAAGAAACTGGCACGAAATTATAGAAATAGGTCTACAAACAAAATTGGTTGCTGCTCAAAGAAGCATTTATATTAAGAGAACTTAAAATCCGCTATACAGAAAACAACTACAAGGACTGAAAATAAAATGAGGCAGTACTACATCCATCGCTCACACATGTACCTGCACAGCAATTAAAACACTACCAATCAATAGCTGAATCTGTATTCTAACTGGAAAAAACTTAACCAAATCCACATACCGATTTTGTTTCCTGACCGTGATGACACTTGACTGAAACAAGCGAGCGTTTCTAGCCAGTTCCATCGAAGTATCTCTCGCCCAAGGGAGGAGAAAGGGACACACCACTCAAAGACTGAAAAAACAGCATCGCCAAAGAGTAGGTATCCGTCTAGAAACCTTCCGTATCTTTAACTGGCGAAAAACCAGCACAACAATCCTGTTTTGTGGTAGCCTAGGAACAGATTTAAGCAAGAAAAAGAACACTGACAAACGCGAAAGTCTGAGGTCCTGTTAGAGCCGTGAGGTCTAAACTGACGCACAGGCAGAACAGTCTAAGGACATCTCCGCTTCTCTTTACGCTGCCTCTGTCCTACATACACATAACTGCAGCGAGTTCCAAAGCCCTGAGAAGCTTGGGGGCGTGTGGGGTGTGTGTTTTGGTTCTGTCGGGTTTTTTTTTCTCTACAGCAATTAAAAACATTCTAATAATTGGTCGTGACTCTGCTCCTTCAAACCCAAACTTGGCAGACAGAGATTTTGTAAAGCTTTCTGGAACGGGATGCAGATAACCTGCCACAGAATTTCTGCGTGCTCTGTGATGGGTTGAAAAAGAAGTCTTTATTAGAACTCAGACTTGTTTACTCCTTGCAATGAGCACTGTCATTCCAATTCCTGTAATTAAATCCACAATTTTGACAGCTGAAACTGTAGGAATAATTGCACTGTTAGTCAAAATAAGTTGTTACTGTTCAGACTGTTGCCAAGAATGTTTTAAAAGCTTCTACTATGCGTTTCAAGTAAATCTGAACTGAATCTTCATCCATTCCACCTCACTTTGTTTCTGGAGCAAAGATCTAAAAAATCTTTCCTTTTACTAGGCAAACTGTAAGCCCCAAACCAGATTTTCCGCCATACTATTGCTACATTCCATTACAACATAAATATTATACAAAACACTTCTACTGATCATTAAGTCGTGCATATGATGTATTTTATATAATCACATCTCTATCCCATAAAATCCTTTTCCATACATGAAAACAATCTGAAGCCAGTCAGTGTTTCGGAAATCTTGAGAACTCGGACACCAAATACACTGAGAATGCATCATCTGAAATTCATCCGTTGTTCCAGTATCTCGTACCAGCAACCTTCAACATCATTTCTTTCATGAGACACGTGAGCCAACACTACCAAGCGTTGAAGACGACTTTCCAACCACTTTTATTTTTCAGTCAACGGTTAGAGAACGCCAGCACAATTCCAACCACAAAAGAAGTTTCATCGCAAATTCGCAGGTAACACAGGCACCACAGTAGACAATAAAAAGCTTTACAAGCAAATTTTGCATTCAAAGGCCAACTGTGCAATCGTTGGGAAGTGTTTAAAGCAGAACAAAGCAGCTCATAAAACACAGTACTTGAGATGCGTACCCCGTGTACTTTATACTTTCTGCACCTGAAACAAAAGTGGCTCAGTTAATGAAACAAGAATCAGTAAAACAGCAGCTACTCCACAAAGGTCTCCCCTTCTTACTGCACGAAGATGAGAAAGGACAGCCTACGTCAAACGTTGCCGTATCTTGTATAAGCACCCAGAAGGCCCAGTTAACAAATGGAGAAGCTGGAACAAAGGCAGGAAGCCACCTCCGACATCCAAAACGTGATTAAGGAAAGGTTTAGAAACACGTCATTTACAGAGAGAGGCCATCTGCAAAAGTTTCTTCTTCCTTTTACGGTAACCATCAAGCAAACACACTCCTCCACGGAAAAAGAGGACTTGCCAACAACCAAAACCAGGTCTGTTTTATGAAGAGCTTAAAAAACAGCAAGAGTGGGGAAAAAAAGAACCCACCAAACATGCTAAAGAGCAGAAAGCCTCTTAATATCCTAGCTTGCGGTGCACAATGAAAACAGATATAAAACCTAATCTGATATCTACAAAATTTCAGCCATATTTGGATTTGTTTTAATTCAGCGTATTCTGTGAAGAACTTCAACTATCAAAATTGTCAGATGACTTTTTTTATTTTTATATACTTTACAATATAAAACTCCAGGTTATATTAAAATTCCCTCAACAGCAAAAACGGGTTTTACTTTTGCCTTCCTCAGAACAGTGAGACAGCCATTACAAATCAATTCCACTAAAAAAACCCACTACCTTCTTGAAAATTAAATAGCTACTGGGCACAAAATAAATTAAAAAAAAAAAAAATACAGTAAAATACTCCAGAAGAACTTATTGGTCTGATTAGAAACAGGCGCAACATTTGGGAACTCTCAGAATTCTAGAATCTTCAGAATTTGTGTTACTTAATATAATACCCAACAGACCTACTCATTTATTTAATAATTTCCCTATTCATAACGTTTCTTTGTTCCTTACAATTAAATCAACAGGATTGAGTCCTGCCTCTCCAGAGGCCTTCTATAAAAGCAGAAGCTGTACTTCAGACTTTGATCGCACAGATGTTCGGAACAGTTTGACTCTGCCCGCGCTTCAAAGAGGATTATAAGGTGCTCAAAAATTCTTTGACCTGCAAAAAGAAACAAATATTGTCAATCAAACTAAGTATTTATGAATAGAAATATTCAGCAACTACATTTACCTTTCCATTGCTTTATGCTTTACTACAACCTACAGGAACTGGGAAAAACAATCTTAGGCTCGGCTATGCCATTTCTTGTCCACCGAGAACTTTTTCAGCCATGGTACCTGTAATTTAGCAGGCGCAGAGAGAGACACGTTGCAATGATGCTCATTCCTCCCCTGATCCTAAAGTACAGCCATACATCGCTAATGAACTGTCTTAAAGGCAGGTCTAACCTTAACACAAGGAAGATAATCACCACCTCAAAACATCTGTCATTTGGAAAACACCAAGTCACACCCACTACCAGAACAGCGTTCATATTTAATGTCAACTAACAACCCAATGCACCTAATTAGTACGTTCCTTGGAGTTTGAAGTTGGCAAATAAAACCTAGCAAAACCATAGTACTTAAAAAAAAAATCTGATTCTGAAGAACAATACCAGGACTGGATCGAAAACAGGCAGCGTGCCAAGCGGCAGGCTAGCATTACTCTTATAAGCGTGGTCACTTAAGACAACGTCTCAAATTCAGGTCGGTACCAAAGGCTGCAGGAAGACAACGTGCTGAGAAGGTGCTTCTTGCCACAGATACGTGTGCCTTTTTTGTTGTGCCCCCTCCACTCCCCCTTTCCAAAACGAAGAGTCATGACTCCTTCCCTTTAAATAAGCACAGGGCTAGGAAGAGGTGACAGTGAGGGCCAGGTTGCCTTTTTTAAAAGCCAACAAACTAGCAGATACAATAACCAAGGAATCCAGGGCTTAGGCACACAACTCCCATCTCTCAGTTCCACAAGCATCCGAGCAATTCCGCTGTGATAGAGCCTGAACTGGGAGCTCAAGCTAGACTACCGCATAGAAAGGAATCGCCAATTCGCTGGAGAACATGGTATTATTCTTTTGGCAGGGGCTGTCGTACACAAAGCCATCTGTAAACGTTTTGTCCGAATTCTTGTTTTGAAATGGAAACAGATCTTGGATCATATTCTCCAGCTGTGTCCCTTCCCTTCCTAGGTCACGGCTCAAAGAAGTGGAAAAAGAAAAAAAGAGGTCAAATCCCTTCACGTGGAGAAGGGGACACACAACTGTGCCAATACTCTGAGTTGAAAGGTATCACAGGAAAGCTGCCCTCCACTTGAGAAAGTAGCAACAGTAATCCTGTGTGATGAACCTGATCACGGTTTCAGGACGGGTCTTTGAAAGCGGGCATGGCAACTAAGGGGAGAAGGAAGCGTACGGGTTTTGAGTCCCCGCTGGACATCAGCGCACACCAGGGGCCAAAGCCCCCAGCCTCATAAAGAGCGTAGCAATGCTGGGACTCCACTTTGGATACGCCAAAAAATAAGGTGAACACGGGGCTGAGGCTGTTCCCGGATAACCCACAGCCAGACAGCACTAAACTCCTCTGAAATCCCTTTTAGGTGCCCGAGTTCGGCCTTATCTCACAGTGCAGATGGGAAGCATATTCACTCCGCAGCTGCCACGTCCGGTCATTCCATCAATTAACAAGCTTTAAAAGAGCAAATATGATGAAGGCTGCTATTAATCAGGTGAACAGTTCTACGTCTCAGTGGATAAACTGAGATCAAAGAACAAAGCTGCTTTTCTCGTGAGGTAAACAATTTATTTCCAAGGAGTGGAAAAATGTGCACATACTGTTGCTAAGGTCTGCAACTCATTGCAACTACTCAAAAGTCATTGTCCTCAGCTGAATCTCATCACGATTCAAATACCAGACACCTGAGCAGTGAAAACATTGATTGTTTCGCCTAGCTTTAAAATATGCATTACACCTTTTTGTGCTAAGGATTACATCTTCTTCATGCAAACAGAAACCTCAACTTGAATTCTTTTTATATCAAATAAGCATTTTTTTCCATGCCTTCAAATAAAACTAAAAAATACTTCAGATATATATTTAGCATTACTTCCTGGACAAAATAAAAAGCTACATTTGAAAAGCACTCCCTGAAGTTTCAGGCCACTGCTTTTGAGCAGAATTTTGAATAACACTTGAATAAACACAACTGAAGGGAAAAACTTCAACCATAATGCCAATTTAATAAACAAGACTAAAAATAAGCAGCATTGCAGCAGGCTAGAAGACTGCGCATTATCAGAATGTTAACTCCATCACTTAAATATTTTAGAAGGATTATTATACAGTGCAATATGTTTTTAGAGCAAAGGATCTCTATTTGCAGTAGCTGTACTGCCCTTTGCTGCGACACGCTAACCAGAAGAGAGGAAAACCTTCTTTCATTTAGCTAGAAATATCTGCAAAACTCAAGATGGTTTGCCGTTGGCTCACTGCCTTGGATCAAAATTCGGCTACAGGTTCAGTAAACTCATCCTTCGATTTCCCATTGAAATGGTTTTGTACTGTATTTCCAGCGTACCTGGAACCAGAACTCTTTCATTGCCGAGCACCCGAGGTTTGACGCTTTCACACCTCATATAAGGAAGACTTTACCCCAGACATCCAACTCAGACCTGCGTAGCCTTCGTTCCCTCTCCCTCATCAGCCACCCTCGTCCTCTCCCACCCCCATCACATTTCTTCGGGCACCTGCACAATGTTAGAGGCAGGACGTACCAAATAACAGTTCTTTTAAACACTCGAGGATTACGTAAATTAGAAATTATTTTTGCAAACAAAGCTACGACTGAAAGTCTTCTCAAACAAGCCTGGAATATTTCCTTCCTCTTCTTTATTTTTCTTTTCTAAAGGAAAATTTATGTAGGAAATAGCATGAAGAAACACAGATTCTAAGTCTGCTCTGACTTCAAAGAATGCTCTACTGGGAGATGCACGACATATCTTGAATTGGTTTTGACATGCTGGCAATAAACCTAAATCATCAGTTTGTTTTGCTTGTGCAATTTTACCTTTTCAGTCATGTGATCATGTCTGTCCTTTTTGCCTTTGAAGTCTTCGTTAACATCCAATGTTAATATAGGTATTTCCTGTAGATATTCAAAATCCGTTCTGTATTGGGATAGGAACAAAGAAACTATTACTGGTTGAAAGCAGTATACATCACTAAAGTCTTAGTCAGCATTTTCACTGTTAAGAATCCCATGAGGAGAACTGCATATAGAAAATACATCTGTGAATTCTGAATATAAAGCAGCTTGAATTTACAGCGTGGCTCCTAGGATATATTATTGATTCTTGAACGTTCTGTTCCCCCAGCACTTAAAGTTAGATTCAACTGTGTATTGAAATTAGTTCTCTTCACATAGAGCTCTGAAGAGCAGACAAGGCACGTTGCACACCCTCGCAATAATTAACGTGCTGTACAGCCACTACAACTAAGGAAGTATAGATAGAAATATTCCTGGAGTTTAACTTTACATACTGTAGGAAAAGCTGCAGTTTCACTGGTGGAGAAAGCATTACGGAACATCTTTACAAAGATTCATCCATCTTTAAGTAACCATTAATCAAACCCTACCGCAGTGTCCTATGCTGAAGCCAACTTTCGTGTTTGTAGTGAAGCTTCTCCAGATATTCAATGGGAATTTCTTGCTCTTCGTCTCTTCCACGTAAGTAAATCCTATTCAAGCATTTCTGAAGGCAAAAGGTATTAAAAAAAATAGGTTGGTTTTGGTTTTTTTGTTTGCAGGCCTACAGAGGAATTCTAGTTTGCTGAAGTGTTTTTTTTTGCCAACGCTTCCTACTGTGCTCAATATGCCACTCTTGGCCAAAGAAGAATATTCAACTTGCTATCTTACGAAACACGATGGCACATTCAGCTGATAGAGCCCACAGACTACACACAAAATCAAAAAGGACCCAAGGAAATGTATCGCATTATTTCTCCACTACAAGTAGAGGCCTCAAATAAGCTCTTTATTAAAAGAAGGGATACCAGTGTATTGCATGAAAAGAGCACAGAAATATCCATTTGACTTCAGAGACAGGCATTTCAAAATCTCATTATATAGTTCTGGCTCTTCAGAATCCAGTTTTCAGATGTAGTAAATCATTTGTTCCTGTCCCGACCACATCCAAAGCCTCAACAACAAGCCAATCAAAACTGTTTCAAACTACTGTCTTTTGCAATTTAAATATACATTCTTGACTTAGAGGAAAAAAAAAAAAAGCCCTCAACAGCAAGCCTAGTAAAAAAGCCCTCAGAGAAACTGTAGCATGTTACATTACACAGTTGTTTATAACAAAGTTGTTTTTTTGGAATGTTGGAAGTGACCTTCAAGTTAATTAGTGCAACTAGAGCTCTTTTAGACTCTTATGTTTTTCTCTTGTTCAGGTAGGTTTTGGACTCAAAAGATGTATTCATTATGTAGTTCTCTCCTTTTAAAAAATATGAGATGGCCAAAGATCAAAGCAGCATCATAAAGCCTCAGACGCAGTAGGTGCAGTCAGCTGCTTAGCTCTGTTGCTCCAGCTGAAAAGGCTTCACACCCCCCCCCCAAATCAGCTGTGACATTAACTATAAATTGTTATATCCATCACAGCTGTGTTCCTATAGCTATTTTGTAGTTTCTTTTTTTTTTTTCCCCAGTTCCAGTGGTATTTTCTGCTTTGCTCGTCTTATATTCTGTTTTTCTAACAAGAAAATCATTATCATCGTATTTTTTTTTAAAAAATACACAGGCTACCTCTGAAAGAACATTCTTTGTTTAAGTACTTCCAGACTGTATTAGTCATAACACAAGTATTAGAGTCTTCAGGGGAATACTACAATCTGAACTGAATACTAATCAGTGAAAGATATGGGTCGTTCAAGATTTTGAAAAGATTACGTTTCCAGGAGAATTTCTCAACTGTTTGCTTGCCTGAGACATTCAAAGCAATCCCTAAAACAAAGATACAGAGGTATGCAATGACACACAGTTGTGACATAACTGGACTTGACTGCAACCATATTATTCTTTCACCATAAGAAAGGTGTAGAATCATAGTTAAACCCTACATTTAAAAAAAAAAATAAAATACCATGGAAGCATAGACAAAGATCAACTTGCACAGGGTAGGCACAAAACGTGTACTGTCATTCTCCGTGCGGTCATCAATTTTTATTCCTCACCTCAGGAGTGGCTCTGAGATAAATGATCCCATCCAGCGCCAGGCTTTGACCAAACTGCTTATTCATCCAGTCGTGCCAGTCTTGGTAAATGGTCCATTCAGTTTCATTCATGCAATCCGACTCGTATAAATTAGCTGCAAAGATATATCTGTGAACACAAAATAGTTAGGTAAAAAAAATAAGCTTGAACACAGTTATCACTTTGTTTGCCTGGAGTACTACACAGTAACTCGAGAAGAAGCTGAGCATACTAATTCTGTAACTTCTTTGATTTATGCTTGGACTGGCAATAAACTGTTGGTATCCCCATCCTCTAACTCCGTCCATGGCAGCTGCCCAGAACAGCGTCCACAACAAGCAGTAGCATCTGCAGCTCAGGTATCTGTTCAGGAACAATCTGCAAACCACCACTGGTTTGTACGCTGTGATCATTTATTTACAATACATTAGAACACAGTGAACGCCTAAGGATTACCTGACGGGATTTAGTTATCAAATCTAACCTTCCGAATCTGAAAACACAGGGTACGGCAATATGAAATAGCTAGTCCCCTTTCAAGAAGCATAAAAGAAAACAAGACTAACTGACCAAAAAAATCCCTCTTGACTCTTCTTGATGCCTACTCCCCTCTTGTCTTTGAGAGGAAATGTGCACGCACGAATGATTAAAAAAACCTACCCAAAAAGAATGAGAAACTACACATAGTTCATCAAGGTTATACAACAAAACTATAAACCCTCAAACTGGTAATTTTACTTCGCTGTCAAACCCAACAAGAGAAAGATAACACACCACTTATTCAGGTTACTGTGATTCACCAGTGTCAAAATTATGCCAAAAGGCAGTACAAAACTCAGTCACAGTCTGCTTATGTATTTGTGCGTTTTACTTAGGAGAATTCTGATCTTCCCTTTAAGGACTTCAGTCCAACATACCTGTCACTGTAGACAGATCGCTCGAAGAAGACCACAGGATTCTCTGCCTCTCTGAGTTTGCCATCAAGGGATCTGAGCTGAGCCCGGATCCTGCTGAGACACGCGTATGTCTGGAAAGTGAAAGACCACCTCTCTGGCTTCTCATACATCATCCGAAGCACATTTCCACCACTCTTCTGCGACGCAGTCAGCTCCTGGTTTTAAACACACACAGTGACCCTTTAAGTTGAAGCAATGGACAATTAAGGTAAACCAGAATTGCTCTACTACATAGAAGCCATTCAGCTTTTATTTCAGGTTTACAGTTGCATGATTTACCTCTCAACCCTATTTGTAAAACAAGGCGTAAATGCCAGTAATGTTATTCCTCCTATGGCACTGAGCTGAACCAGCAACTCTCTAGAACCTACAGTGTCAAAATGCTCAAGAACCAAAGCACTTCGAGCACTAATTACAAGCTTCGATCACAGAACAATGTACTATCAGTACAAAAAGTCAACAACATCGTAGAAAAATCCAAGCTCCTTTTACTCAGGCAAGGATGACTTTAAAGTCGACTCGTTTTGTTTTTCCCTCTGTTAATTACAGTTCCTATGTTAACAGCTGCTGATGCAGCATCCTAAGATATGATTATGCTCTCATTTTACCTGGGAGGTTCAGAACAGTCTCCAGGCCAAAGACCTGCCTCAGCCCGCGAGGGAGATAAAACACCTCGTGACAGCCAGTAAAGCTCATGGAAACAGAAAGCTGCATGCCTCGGTTTTACTGGAAAACACAGCCTACCAAAGGTGACTGCTTCCGTCCGAATCTTTTTGCTACACTATCAGCAAATCCAAATATTGACATATTTTCAAAAATTTAGAGCTAGAGTTCAACACCTAGCTGATAGCAATTACGAGTCTGGAATTCCAGGTTTCATCCTCATCTGTAATTCCCTGCAACCATACCTACACTAGTAAACCAAACATGCCCAGAACCGTGCTCTGACACTGTGGCCAAGCAGCACAAAACAGCAATATCCACAGAACTGAGCTTTCCAAGCCTCCAAAAAGATGTAGCTACATGCCGCGCACTTTCAGCAGTCACCGAGCTGTCCTACTGCTTCAACCGAGTCCAGCAAGTGCTTGGAAGGGTCCTAGGTGGCACAGGACAGAAGTCTGTTAGGGACAGAGGACACGGCTTGGTTCCCCTAGCCAGGATATGCCCCTCTACTCTGTAATCCAATAGAGAAGCTGCAGCTACAGTGACCTTTCACAAGTCACAAGACCCTTATTTCTCAGTTTCACCAGTAAGAAATAAAAGATATAGAACTATCCTCTAGAAAAGATTCCAGTGTCCTTGAAAAACATGGTATGAAAAAGTACAGTGCTAAGCTAACTGAAGTATTTCAGGTGCAACTTTCACGAGAACTAACAACTACAAATGCAGGAAGACACACCTCTTTCAATGCACACACACACACACACGTAAAAATGAACTTTCTATTTATTTTTTTTTCCCCCTCGTACTGTGGGATAATGCAAGCACCAGCTTTCTCCAAGATGGAAAAGTTAAAGTCTACTTTTTGGTATTAAACTATATTAAAAAAGCAATAATCAAGACCTTTAATGCTGATAACTGCTCTCAGAAAAGGGAAGGAAGACAGAAAAAATAGGCAAAGGCTCTGTCTAGCTCCAAAAAAAATGTAGCTGAAGAAAAGTTAGGAACAACACGCCTCCGTTAAAAGTTTACATTTAGTTAACAAAACACATTGTACTTTTGCCAGATCTACGTAAGAAAAGCCTTTTACAGTTCATCAAAAGCTGTCTACACAGCGATGACTTTGGCCCCTAGGTAGCAGCTGGATTGCCAACAGAATTACAGGTAGCTGAGAGAAAAAAACACCACTATAAACAATTCAGCAGTACTTCATTATTTCCTAGACATTTTGGAGGATGCCTTCCAGGACACCAGGGCAACCCTCTGCTCTCACCTGGTTAGTTCACAGTAGCTACAAGTAACTTCTGTCTAACTTTTTTCCCTCCCTTGCTCTTACGCATAAAAAAGAACAGGCTTTTACTGCTTTTATAATTTGCATCTTGATATTGAATAACATTTATTCCATAATACACAGAGCAGACTGGAAAACAGGAACTCAAATATTACACTAAGAATCAGCAGAAAAGTTGCTATCGCATATATTTTCTAAAATACCAAGTCTATCAGATATATTGTTTTTCTGAAATTAGAAGAAGATTTGACTGGTTGAGTTTTGAGGTGGGTTTTTTTTATATTAAAACTTTCATCTTAGTTTCTTTCACCATACCTCGCAATCCTCTTCAGGGTTTTGCTGAACGTTGCACCATCTAGCTACAGGCTCAGGAACAACTTCCCATTCCTCATCAGCTTGTTTGAGAATATTCACAAATGTCGATTTCCCTGCAGCTGTGGGAAAAGCATTCACGAAAAATGGCAGTCAAAAAACATCAATAGTGTCATCATTTAAGTACTACACAACTCTGGTCTCAAGTCCCATAAATGATTCTCCCACACCCATGTACTTTTGAGTTCATGACAAGCGTCAATCAGACACCATTGCGTACCACAGATTATCAATTAAATGAGCAACATTTCTTTATTATTTTATACCACACAACACCAATACCAAATTTAACCAAAAAAATCCATGCTGACAAAAAGTCTCAGCCCACATCAATTATCTAAATTCTAGAAAGTGACAGCTGCAATTAGAACACCAAGTGTTACATTTTTTTTGAAGATACTTAGTGGTCCAGTCTCAGGCACAAAGTTGCCGTCTTCCTAAGTTGCATTAAGAAGGAAAAAAAAAAAAAAAAAAAAAACAAACCAAAAGCAAGCAATGACAAAGGAAACAAAACAGAAAGGATGGTTTCTCAAATGTAGATAGAAAGATCCATTACTAGTTAATTCCTACGGCACAGAAGTCAGCAATCTGCCACCAATCAAAAAAAGAAAAAAACTGAGAGAAGTTATCAACGTATCAACCACGAACGTACGTATCGGGAAACAGACATCCCGCCAACTCCTATCCTCCATTTTAAGCACAGCTTCTTGCCAAAAAAAAAAAAAACGACCCACCCACCCTAATAAAACAAAAAACCACAGAAAACAAACCCAAAGGAGAATATCTCACTAGGAACAGCCCAGAACTTTTCCTGCTCTTTACCACAGTTAAGCAGGCTTCTCTTGTTAATTACATGATGAGTTTCACCTGACAGCCCGCGTTTACACAGGTGTTTTACACTACAATCAGGAGAGATGTGGGACAAGTCTCATCCAGGCATTGAGTGCAAAAAGGTAGGTTGAAAAGCGTAATAGGAAGCTTTTCCCCCCGCCTCCCAGATCTCATCATTTTTATAGCGTTAATTCCTGCGGCGTGAGGGTAAAGTTTCTGAAGTTATTGACACAATCCCAGACTGGGGAGGGTTGGAAGGGACCTCTGGAGGTCACCCAGTCCACGCCGCTGCCAGAGCGGGGGCACCCCGAGCAGGTTGGACAGGAACGCGCCCAGGCAGGTTTGGGTTATCTCCGGAGAAGGCGACTCCAGAGCCTCTCTGGGCAACCCGTGCCAGTGCTCTGCCACCCTCACAGGAAAGACGTTTCTCCTCTTGTTGAGATGGAATTCCCCCTGTTCCAGTTTGTGCCCGTTGCCCCGTGTGCTGTCGCTGGGCACCACTGGAAGGGGTCTAACCCCATCCTCTCCACACGCACCTTTAGATATGGATAAGCGTTGAGGAGATCCCCTCTCAGCCTTCTCCTCTCCCACCCACCCCCCGCCGGGTCTTTCAGCCTCTCCTCGCAACAGAGGTGCTCCATTCCCTCAGCACCTCCGCCGCTTTACTACTGGTCTCCCTCGCACCGCACAGCCCGTCTGCCTCCCTCCCGCCTCCCGCCCTGACTGAAAGCGGGGACAAACGGGAGGGAACGCCGGGGCGGGCGGCGGCC